TCATTGATTGTCATGAGGCAAAAGCAGGGAGTAATTTAGCCCAATAAGACAAGATTTAGATGAAAGAAAAGAATTTTGAAAATATTTCATGCAGTGCAAGCAAGTTTACTGCATTGGCTAAGTGAATGCAGCTGATTCACTCCATAAGGATGGTGTCTCCTCCCCCCGAGGAAGACCTTAAGAAGTGCTTCAGCAAAAAAGGCAGGTCTGTTCCTTAGCAAGACTGAGAATGAGTCAGCAACCATAGCAAGAGGTAGCTGAGTTTATGCTGTCTTCTGCACAGCAATAATCCAGAAGGCCCAGGTTTCAGGGCCATACAGGTACGTTGGCTTCTAGCAGGGGTTTAGGTTGTAGCCGTGTTGGTCTAAGGATATAGGAAGACAAGGTTCCTTGGGTGAATTTGATATCTTTTATTAGACCAGCCCAAATGGTTGAAGAATAGTTATTAAGCAAGCTTTCGGGTTCAAAAACCCTTCGTCGGGCTAAGGAAGCTGCAGCAGTTGGTGTGTGCTCTTCCAGGAGCCTACCAGTTCAGGAAATTGCTGGAATTTAAGAATCGTGTTGTTCTATGGGATCCTTTGTTACCATGCCCATACCTTTCATCTGCTGGTTTGTCAGCTATTCTTGTTTACAGGAGTCTCATTTTAAGATTTTTAAGGCTAAGGTTGCAACTGTTAGCAATGTGATTATGTATCTTCAATCATATGTATAAAATTCACCACAAGGGGCGTGTCTACATGTTCATTAATGCACCTTTGCTACTGCACATTAAGTTTAGTACCTCTAATATGAGGTACTAGATAAAAGTACAGTAGCTGCGCTAATGCACAGTAGCAAAGGTGATTTTTTTTGTTGTGACGCTTAATGCGCAGTAAACTAATTCTACTGTGCATTAGTGCATCAGCACAGTTTTTGCCATGATGAGCTAATGCACAGTAGAACTGTCCACTGCGCATTAAGGCACCTCGTGTAGATGTGCCCACAGTCATATAATACCACATCCTACAAAGTGAGAAGACCAAATTCTCTATACTTAGCTGTGCCATTTATGACTACACTGCATCATGAGGGAGCTCTCACGTGCTAGTCTCATAGGCAATCCCCTTGTGTCTTCTTTCTCTTGCAGCTTGAGAATTCACTAAATTCCTGAGCTGTATCCCAAGGTTTGCTTTGATCAAATCTGTTGATGGGCTGGAATACTTTATTTATTCCCATCTCACACTCACCTTTTTAGAAAAATTAGTGATAAAAAATTGAGGTATCTTAAATAAGGAAACTCATTTTGAACAACAACAAAGGAAAACCCTTTTTGTCTTCATTCTGTCTTCCCAAAACAAGATGTATTTCTTATTTGGAGGCATATGGTATGTGAAAAATTATGGTACAAAAGTTCTTCCGTCTCCCCAAGCTCAGATCTTCCACATGCTTTCTCATGAGCTCATGACATAAAACCAGCTTTGTTCTTGAGGAGGGAATGTTTTCATCAGAGCCTTTCACCTCTGGGTCATTGGCTGAAATCTGGCCCTGCTTGGTAGTGACTGAAAATCATTACTAGCTGACGGCTGCTTGAGAAATGAGCTGGTGAGCCTAAATCCAGTTCCTAATGGGCACATCTCAGCAAACGCCATTCCCTGTGGCCCTAAATGGCATTCGCAGCAGAGAGACAGAGGCCTGAATGGGGAGTGGAAAGTGACCTTTCCTTTTCATCTCTTTGAGGTGCCATGGAGGGGGAATCTGCACTGCTGTTACTCTGAGCTAGGAGAGTTCTTCTGGGTCCAGGATTGTTAATCTAGGACCTTTCACTACTGCTACATTCTTTGAAAAGTAAAATCACCTAGGGGACAACTTGAATCCTGCTCCATGTTTTGAGCAGGTATGAAAGGACAGTTTAACGCCTAAGGTTCAGAGTTAGGCCTTGTGAGATGGAGATTCAAGTCCCAACTCTACCACTGCTTCTGTGCATGACCTTAAGCATGTCACTAAATCTCCCTGTGCCTCAGTTCCCCAGCTATAGAAGGGCCTAAGAGCACTTCTGTATTTCACATGTATAGCCAGCGAGGATCGATGTGCTAATGACTGTGAGGGGTGCATGTTACCTGTGATGAAGTCCAGGGAGGGAATTTTCACTCTGGAACGGCACTCTCTGCTGAGTCACTGGTGTGTGAGGTGCTAGCTCAGCCTTGTCTTCTCCCCTCCTTCATCCAGTTTTCATTAAAACTTCCTGAAGCAAGGTGAAAAATCTTGGGAATCAAACTAAATAGAAAATCAACCTTGCAATACCAAGAGCTCCTAGTGGCCTCATAAACACTGAGAACAGCACTCACAAATCACAAGGACAACATGGCTTGTAAGAAAAGGCAAGAGCATTTCTGCTTCAAATTCTACCGGGCTCTGTTTCCAATGCTAGAAAAGTCCTGTTGGCATCACAGTGACATCAACACGTACACGAGCCCATATGAATAAGTGTCTTTGATACTGCCTTCATGCAGATGGGCCCTTTAAAAGTATATGAAGGGAAAGGCTTGAGAGAGCTTTTCACAGCATATCAATTAAAACACAACATGGTGCATCATAACGTACTGCACTTCCTCAGTATGAAGGCAACTGGCTGATGTCACCTCACAGGATGAATAGGGACATCTGATGTCACCTCAGTATGAATGGAAATGCCTGGTGTCACATTTGCAATGTAAATAAAGACATCCGATGTCACCTCATCATGAAGGGAGATGCCTGACATCACCTCACAGTTTGAATAAGGGCATCTGATGTCACCTCCATATGAATGGAAGTGCCTGATGTCACCACATTGTCTGAATGGGGACATCTGATGTCACCTCCATATGAATGGGACTATCTGATGTCATCTTACTGCTAATAGGACTTTTTACAATGTGTCATCCAAGGCTGGAGGGGAATTCTTCTAACTCATTGAGTACGATACATAACATAATATAATGTGCAGGTTAACTCGGACCCCCGTGGGCAGATTCTGGATGGATGGATAGATAAATGAATAGATACATTTATACTAAGTATACATACATTATATCACTCTATTGATTTTTAAAAAGTTCCGGGTCTGCCTGGCTGTAATGAGATTTTTGAACTTTGTGTTGCGATCAATGAGAGGAATATTATTGGCCTGGAGAATTGATATACCTGGTCTCTGTGGCTTGTTCTGCTCCCAGGCTGCCCCTGCCCCCTAGGTGTACGATTCCATCAGACACTTAACCTCTTTTACAGTGTCATCAGGCTAAAAGGAATCTAATAGTGACACGGGACTTGTGCTCAGCACTCTGGCACTATTGCTTTCCTGTCACAAATAATTTATAGCTTTCTATTTCCATCCCCTTGCCTGTACCCCATCCCCACTCTGTGCTTTCTCTGGGCTGGGGGGAATCAATACACTCATACAAGCACAGTGGCACTTCAGGGTGCTTCAGGGAGATTGGGGGGTGGGGGTTGGAGAGACAGAAAAGCAGGAAAGAAAGAAGAGACAAATTGCAGCACCTCCCTCTTCGTGGACTTCTTAGGTTAGCTCCTCAGTGGTATTATTCAGCATAGCTCCAGGATCTAATCCCTTAGCAACCAGGCCCTCATATATCTCCTGATCCAATGTTCAGCTGATGTATATCAACAGAATCCCCCGAAATCCCTGGAGCTACATGAGCCAAGGGTCTGGGCCTCTGTGTGTAGCTGCTCTTTGTTTATGAACCTCTTGGTCACCTACCTGTTTCCCAGAACCATCCCCTGCAAAATCTGCCCCTTCAGGTACTTTGCAGGCTCCATCATCTGAACAACCTAATGCCCTTCAGGTGTTAAGCTTTACAATAGCTCTCTGTTTCCAGTGAATACCTAGAATACCTGCCTTTTCAATGCTTATATCGTTGGTTCCCCTGCCTCCGCCCCTCCTGTTCCACCCTACCATCCCATGTAGGAGCCATGCCTTTTCTCTTTGGAGCTGTTATTTAGCAGGTGGAGGATGCAGAGGTGTCAGTCGTCCCGATACTTGTTCAGTACACCTGAAATTGAGAAATCACCTTTAAGAGTATAGTAGAACTCAGCTGCAGTGGTTTCTACAGTCCTTGGTGGGGTGTTGCTGAAATCCCCTGTGGGAAAGCCAGTAGTGATTGTGGTTCTTGAATAGCAGGGCTTGCTCATCAGAAAATGGATAGAGGCCTCAAAGGCCATTTTGGGAGCAGGAGTCACTAGTTTCCTTTAATCACTGGCTCAGACTATATTTGAACTAGAGACCTAGAAGTGAAAGCCTTGTGTAGACAGGACTGGAACACCAGCTGTCACTGCTCAGTCTGTCCTGATTGCAATTGCATGTACTCAGCTGTTTTCAGGTACTCACCTCTGCTGGGCTTCCTTATGCCAAATATCGAGCACCTAGCAAACATCAAAGCCACATATTTGCAATAGTGTAGGTTTTAGTTAAGACTTCTAGCTCATCCCCATCTCTTGTGCCTGCCCTCTATCCCAATCCTTTCATTTATGCAGGGAAAAGCTCTTGAAAACCCTCCATCAGTTCAAATGACTACATATTCTAAAGGGAATGCCCTCTCCATGGCACCACCAGTCACGTCTGCCCCTTACAAACTGAACCGTGATCCTACTGGTCACAAAGGCTGCTTGGCAGCTAGTGGCCAAGCCAGGTTCTTTTGGCCTCTCAGAGTGACACCAGGACATGTATGATGATATAACTGCTGATTTATAAGGCAGGCTGTGTCCTGCCTGGTTTGTTCTGAGCCATGCTGAGGCTGCTTTGGAAATGCAAATCAGAGAAGGAATCAGGAACATTAAAGGGGTCTCATTGATGTCAATGCTAAAACTCCCATGACCTTTAATGTGGCAGGCCCATGGCCCTGCTTAGTCATAAGAAGCCACTGCAAACAATTATTCCCCTTTCCTGGCTGTGCCTCTGTGACTATGGCCATCTGTGATCTGGCAGCTGGAATTGGTGGGAATGATGACAAATAATTTTCTGGCCTGGGAGTGGCAGCAGGGGCTGTCAGGAGTGGAGGTCTGAACCAGTCTTGTTCTTTTCCAGGATCATCAGAACCAAAGTCCAGCAGCCTTTCCACCCAACGCCGGATGGGAGTGGAACAGGAGTGACAGCACCAGGACATACTATAGGTAAGAGAGGCCAGCTTGTTGGTGACTGGGACCGGGGGATCTAGACAGAGTGGAAAAGGGCTGAGGATGGGGTGGAAGAATGAAGAAGAGCAGAGAGACACTAGGGCAGGATCAGAATGAGAAAGTCCACAAGCTGACAGCACAGCTGAAGCCAGGGGATTCTGTTCTCTGTTGGCCTAAAATCACTGGAGTCTGTGGGGTTGCTCTACAGAAACTGGCCCAGGATGTGAAGAAAAGCTTAGATCTCTGCAGAGGAATCTCTGATCTCTTTGTTCCCCTTTTTCTTTTACTTTCTCTCCTTTTTCCTCCCTACCTACAACCATACTTGTTACAATATGAAATCACTGTTCAGCCAGTCCTACCCCTTTCCCCCTATCCCATTCATTCCCTTCCTCTTCTCTCCCCTCCTCAGTCTTAGTCTAGTTACTAAGAGTTAGGGACCTACTTGTCTCAGGGGAAGATGTTCCCAACACCTGGCAACCATGGTCATTGTTGTTCCAGCAGCGCCATCAGCGTGTATTTCACAGAGACAGTGTGGGAGATGCTTTTACTGAAGTGTGTTTGGGATTATGAGCCTGTAATAATATCCACTAAGAGACTGCTAATCTGGAGTGTCATAGGCTCTGTGTTAAGTACACAGTTAGGTATATTTTTGTGTGCATGCTACGGGCATGTGCATGTGTGCTGCTCTTGTTAACAAGATGATGTGGCCAAAAGCTATTCCAGCCTGAAAAGACAGTTCTGGTATTTTGTGAAGTGTTATGGCTTGTTTGGGTTGGTGTCCATGGGTGCTGTTTATTACTAGAAATCAACCACTGTATGGGGATTTACTGGGCTATACTGGATAGACTCAAGAGGTGCCCTTTCTTATTGGAAGAACAATACTGTATTTAGGGATGTATCTGAAATGCACTGGTCAGTATGGGATAGCGGTTGAGGGCACCAGCAATGTATGGAGAGTGCTGTCTTATACTAGCTTCTCTTCTGGCCTGGGAAGATCCTGTTGCACACAGAGGTGCAGGTCACTCCAGCACAGCATGCTAGGGAGCATCTGTGTGCTTAGCCAGCTGCACAAGTGAGTCTGAATGCAGATATGTAGATGTACAGCTAATTGCTGGAATGCTCTGGGAAGTGATGGTTTGCCACTGGCATGCCTTTAGTACTGCTTGCTGCACTCTACTGCTGCTATTTCAGAGTGGGTGTTTTTATCTGAATGAGCTGCATAAATTAACTGCTACTGTGTTGTACTGGAAACCATTGAAAGGTGATGGCCATTGCACGGCTGTAGTTGGTGACTGGTAGTCTGTCTGATGTTACTACATACTGTTAATCTGTGTTGGGTACATACCTTGAGCTCTTGATCTGTAAAGGGAGATTGTAGAAGGTGTTGGCGTGTATGAAGATACACTGGAATGCCAGTGTAGCTTTAACCAAAGCTAGGATGTATCCTCTAAGGGTCATGGTTCTTCACTGGTTGGATTAGGGTGATATCTGAAAGGTTGATGTGGGATATGATGGGACATGCACATCCCTGCTGGGGAATGCTGGGAGGGGGAGTTCTTACACTTGTCAGTACGTTAATAGATTGGAAAGTCCTTAGCCTGGGTGGGTTATGGTGACGTTGCCCTGGATTCCCCTGGAATGCATTGGTTAGGAATTGATCTGAACTGGGATATACTGGTAAATCTTAGCTCTTTGATGGAAAACTGATGGGGTCAGAGGGGGCTTGAAGGGTTGTTTGATGCAATGCGGAGGTGGTTTGGTAGCGCTGGCAGGTACTGTAAGGCTGTGGGGGTACTGGGTAGCGAGACTGCAGAGAGTATGTGGCAAGGCTGGGACCCAGCAACAGGCATTCTCTGTACTAGTGTAGGGACCCATTACTGAAACGAACCAGGAGGTTGGTTAATGGCCAGGGCTTTCCTGGGAGACTGTGGGGAGGGATAGCTTTCAGCTGGGGGCTCCCTGAGTGCTGTGCTGCTCTCCTTATGGCCCTTTTTCCCTTCTCGTTTTGTCCAGTTCCCAGTACAGCATCCCCTCCCGTCTCCAGTGCCTCCAATGATCCAGTGGGCTCTTACTCCATTAACGGGATCCTGGGGATTCCTCGGTCGAATGGCGAGAAGAGGAAACGTGATGAAGGTAGGGGGAGGAGGGGACAGGCTCATCCTCCCGGTTCTGTTCTTTGTCCCCATGCACAGGCTCCGATTTCAGGCCAGGCCTTGCAGCTGCTTCGAGGCTAGATCAGTTTTAGTGACAGAGTCCCGTTCCCTGCACTGGCCTGCTGGCTTGGAACATTCTTCTCCTGAGGCCTCTCCTGACAGGCTACAGCCTCCAGACATCTGCTCAGCGGGTGGAGCAGCCGCCTCCGTCGCTGGAGCTGATCCCCAGCCCATTCACTACTGGAAATAGCTGGAACCAAACCCCTCAGGTGCCAGCAGGTGCCTGGGCTTTGAACCACAGGAAAATAAGGTCACCTTGATGCCACCTCAGATCAGCACCAGCAATGGGGTGGGAAGACACTTTCCTCCTAGACTCCCCTGTCCAGTGACTCTTTTCCTGCAAGGTGTCATGAGCCATATTACCTCCAGTGATATTAGGGGCCATGTTTTCCATTAGTCTCCTTCTCTGTGGCAGTTGATGCATTTGCAATGTTATAGGGTGCAGGGAGGAAGTTCTGCTAAGCAGAGTGGGCCTGTGGGGTTATTTTACCCCTCCCCCCAGTCATCACAGGAATTAGGGATTAGGATTGCTGCTTCTCTTCCTGTGCCTGGGATGCATTGATGGTGAAATGGATCTTGGTTGGGATGATGTGGATGGAGACCCCAGCTGATTTGTGTCTCCTGGGTGGACAACCTCAGGAAGGGAAGTGGAGTCTCGGCTTTCCTGCGGCAGTTTTGCAAATGTGTTCCTTTAAACCTTACTGTTTAACTTGAGTGTGGGTAGGGGGAGGGAGGACTTTTCAGCCTGCTCCCTTTAGTCCTGCCTTAATCTGTCACTTCCTCCTCTTGCCTGTTGTGTGAAAGGCCCCTCCTAGTGGTAAAGTCTGACTTTACGTAGCACATGCCCTGCAATCTACAGGTTAAATAGGATAAATTAAAAGACAGGGAGTCCTGCTACCTCTGCATTACTTGGCGGTGGGGCAGAGGCGATCTGAACAGGGTGCGCGCCCCCAGATGTGAGGAAGCCAGCGGCGGATTTGGCAACGGGGGGACGGGGGCGGGGTGCCCTCCGTTGCCAAATGGAGGCAGCGGTGCTGAGCAGCTAGACGTGAAGCTGGCAGCAGTGCGGAGTTGCCATGGCCATGCTGCCCGGCTCTGCAGGGCCCCCCAAAGCGCGGAGCCCGGGGCAGTTGCCCCGATTCACCCCCCCCCCCCCCGGGACGGCCCTGGTGGGGGAAGTGGGAGTCCTACTAAGACAACAGCCGCACACCAAAATACTGACAAGCATTTTCTTGGCTCTGGTTGTCATAGGGTTCTCTCACACCTTTGAGTTTCACACTTGAGTTTTGGGTCCAAGTGAATCCATTGACTCCAAGGAAGAGTCAAACATTAGACCTCACCCTGCCCAATTAAAAGTGAGGATTTAGAGAGAACAGTCTTGAATTCAGGGATCCAGTTTAGATCCTCTTAGAGCAAATGAGGAGGTTTAAGAATATTGGATTGGAAAAGACCCTTGCAATCCCAGGCAGTTGTGCACTTGTTGGATCAGGCCTCAGATGAAGAGCCAGTTCCAGATTAGATGACGGTGGAGGCCTGGGAAAGTTCAATCAAAGAAAAGGTGTGTAGGAGGGGAAGAAAGCCTCTGCCATGTTTGGAACTGTTTGGGTCCAGATGTTTTGGTTTTGACCTACCACTTTTGCAAAGCCTCTGATATTTTTCATGCATAAATTGACTCAGGGTCACTTTGTCCTGAGTGATGGATTCCCCTTGCAGGTATGAAAACTGAGGCAGTGTTTGGAAGTGGTTATGAGGCTCCTGAGGCAGTGTTTCACCTGCATTCCTGACAAGGAACCTTAGTGCCTTGATAGCAATGAAACAGCTCATCTGGCTTCAGCAGTTCCTTCCCTCCAAACATCTGGGAGATCAGTGCATGTCAGACTGACCCTCCCGGTTGCTAAATTCCAGTCCCAGACTCCAAGTTGTTTGGGATGATCTAATAAAAATAGCAAATCCAAAGCATCTCAAATGGGGACATTTATACATTGCTATATTGGCAGTCTGGGTAGCTACTGCTGGCCTCCCTGAGCCATTCCCAGTTTGATTTTTGAAGGAAAAGAAATCCTGAATCAGGGGCACTCCCCTGTGTCCACCTAGGAGCCAGTGTGCCCAGGCCTGAGCCCCGTGGAGTGTTCAGAACTCTTTCAGTGTCCGCAGTTGCATGTTGCAGGTTCTGTTTAATCCCTTTAGAGGAATGTCTCAATTCTGCCCTCCCCAGTGACAGCCCATCTGCGTACTCACCTACCACCACCACCAGCACTTTCTTAGTTTCCCTCCTCTTCAGGCCTCTTTTACCAGCTGAATCTCCCCATGCTTTGCTGAACACACCCTGCTAAGTGCTGAGAATCTGAATTGCAATGGACTCTGCTGACCAAGGCACTCACCACCTTGCAGCATTGGGCCTTGGGAATAGAAGCTCCCCAGGATGAGATTCTCTTCAACCAATACCCTTCTCTTATCCTTGATCTGTCTTCTCAGGCTTTCACTTGTCTTAGCAGTGAGGAAGGGGGAATTGGTGAGGCAGGAATTTAATGGTGCACTGCTGTTTGCTACCATGAGTAGGTGATACAGTCCCCTTCCTGGTACTTCCCATGGGTGCTGAGCACCTTGTCAGCTGGCCATTTACTGGTATTCATCCCTCCCCAGTTTGCTTATTGCATTTAAAAAGCCCCCTCTTTTGTGCCAGCTCTGCTAGGGTTAATCACCACATAGACTATGTGTAGTGGGGGGCAGTGCTGACTCTTTCAGCTATATTGGGAATCCCCACTGCAGGTGGAATTACTCTCCAAGTAAGGTTCATCTTCTCCAGGCGGTGGGTTGCCAGTTCACCCCTGACTCCATGATTCTGAAATCAGTTAGTGGTGTGCTGGGTGAGGTAGGGGGGAGATGGGAGCTGAGCTGCCCTCTTCTCTCCCTGCTTCCCCTCATACTTCTCCTTGCTGCAGCTGGCACCTGCATTACACACTAACACAGATGATTAAGAAGAGGGGAGATAATTATGTGTCAAGATGATGTAGCCGAACTCCTAAACCAGGCAAGGGAGCCAGACGGATGTACGAGGCAGGATCAGTGATGGAGACTGACAGCCAGGTGTGTCTGCCAGGAGTTTAGGGGGACCCTGGCCCACTGTCACTGTGGAGTGTGCTGTGGTAGGAAGATGTCTGCTCTGCAGGGCTCTGAGCACCTGCTAATCAGAGGAAGGAGCTGGTGAAGCTGACCTCGGAGCAGGGCCTGCAGAGTTTGTCCCTACAAGTGCAGAATTCTTTGCTTAGCAGAGCCCCCGACCTCACTGTGGGGTGGGGCAGTATCACTTTTAGCCCTTGCCCACCCCTGCTGTAGAGAGAGAAGGAGGCATTGTGAGGTGAAGTGACTTGCCCAAGGTGGCAGAGGGCATCAGCGCCACAGCTGCTGGAGTTCAGGAGTTTCTGGCTGGTAGCATTCTGCCTACAGTGCCTGAGTGAGCCCCTCCTTGCTCTCTGGACAGCAGGCACTGCTAGGGGTGGGGCCCAGAGCCTGCCAAAGAGCAGATATGCTCCAGAGTGAGAGAGGGTGAAGGCACACTGCCACAGCATGATGCTGCTCCCTCTTCCACCAGACCTCATGAGATGGTCTGAAGGGGAGAGAATGGAGCGACCCACCACAGACAAGAATTAGTGGCTCTAAGATAGCACAGCCAAAGGCTCTGCATAACAGTATTACATAGTTGCATGCATGTATATGAGACAGACAGACACATGGGTATTGAATAGATAGATAGGGATAAAGATAGATGCATGCATATGAATGGGACAGGCAGGGGTACAGAACAGAGGGATAGAGAGACTTATCTGAATAGGCAGGTGTACAGAACAGAGGGATAGAGAGACTTATCTGGAATAGACAGACAGGTGGACATATCTAGAATAGATAAATGTGGAGATAGGAGGAAGATAGGTGCACACACGTACATGGGACAGATAGAAAGACAGTGTCTTTTACAGATCTAAATGCTCCTATTGGACCATAGTTCCTGCCATGTTAATATCTCTGCTGCAAGAATGTCAGCCTTATTAGTCTCGGCCTGTGACAATATCTGTAATATTTGATGGCATTAATGGCAATAATATCTGCAGTGCTGACAATGGCAGGGGTAATATCCACAAGTATTATCGGCATTAGCGGAGATTGTAGCTGCCGTGTGCTATTGGCATGAGCAGGCGTAATGTGTCTGCTATTATTAGTATCAGTAGTAATAAAACCCACAGGGTTGTTAGTATTATCAGTGCTAATATCGGCAGTGGTTTTGTGGGAGAGGAGGTGGATGGAGTGATTGTTAGTATAAGTGGCAATAATACTGACGCTGTTTGCATAACAGTATCCCCAGCGGAGATGGAGGAGAGAGCTTGAAAGCAGATAAGCGTTCTCCTTTTCCTATTGTGAGCTGTCATTTTGATGACAAGATGATTTACCTCTCAGTGAGGGATACGGTGCTGTGTGGATGCCGCGGAATAAGTGTGCTGTTCAAAGGGGGTGGCTATGTTGTTGCAGGTGGTGTGAGTGTTTTGTTCAGTGTGCCTTGGTTGTGGTGTTGCAGGCGGTGCAGTTGTGTTACTCAAGGGGGGGAATGGATGTATTTGTTGAAGGTGGTGAGGACTATTCAGGGCATGTTGGTGGTGGTATTGCAGGTACTATCATTTTGCTGTTCAAAGTGGAACAGTTGTGCTGTTGCATGTGGTGTGAGTGCATCGATTCAAGTTGTCTTGGCAGTGGTGTTGCAGGCAGTATACTTGCATCATTCCAGGGATGCCTGTGTTGCTGTCAGTGGTGTGATTGTAGTGGACAAAGTGGGAGCTGTGTCACTGCAGGCATTGTGACTGCATCAAAGTGGGTTGGGTGTATTGTAAATAGCGCAGTTGTGTTGTTCCAGGAGAGTTGGCTATGCTG